AGACCGACAATTACTTGGGAAGATTTCAAGAGACAATGTAATTTGAGATTCGGTCCACCCGTTCGAAGTAATAAGTTGGGAGAATTGGTGAAGTTGCAACAGATAGGTTCGGTTGAAGATTATCAACGCCAATTTGAACAGTTATCTGCCCGGGCAAGTTCTTTGTCTATGGATCAAGAAGTACAGATTTTTATTAGTGGGTTACAAGAATATATTGCTGTTGAAGTGGAGTTGCACCAACCACCAGACCTTACTAGTGCCATGAGTCTAGCCCGTTTATATGAAAGACGGGGCAATCGCAACAAAGGTGAATCTTCCTCCGTGAGACGAACTGGTCCTGTTCAGTTGCGTTCTTCTTTTGTGAAGAAATTAAGTCAAGCTGAATTGGAAGACAGAAAAGCAAGGGGACTTTGTTTTAATTGTGATGAGCGTTTCACTCCTGGACATCGTTGCAAGAAACTCTTTTGGCTTGAGGTTTTAGAAGATAATGGTCATAATGAAGAAGGAGTAACACTGGACAATTTAGAAGATGCTGAAATTTCCATTCATGCCATCACGGGAACACCATCTTCACGAACAATGCAGATTAGGGGTTCGTTGGACGGGTACCCACTGATTGTGCTAATTGATTCAGGAAGCACCCATAGTTTCTTGGATGCAACTTTGGCAAGGGAATTGAATTTGCAGATTGAGCACAAGGAGGAACTCCGAGTCATGGTGGCAAATGGGGAACGAGTCTATTGTGAAGGAATCTGTCGTGGTGTGGCAATTCTTATGGGTAACTCTGTTTTTACTCTTGATTTATTGCTATTATCCTTGCCGGGCTTGGGTGCTGTTTTGGGGGTTAATTGGCTACAAACCTTGGGGCCCATCACATGGGATTTCAACTTGATGAGAATGAGTTTTATTAGGGGTAGGCAACTCATAGAATTAAATGGGGAAAAAGAATCACGTGTTATTTTTCCCAGGGTATTTTCTTCATCAGTTGCTTCCATAGACAGGGACTCTGAGTTGCAAAGGTTGTTAGCAGAATTTCAGGGTCTATTTCAGGAACCAACGGGACTACCTCCAACACGTGATTGTGACCATCGTATTTTATTGGAGCCAGATTCTTCACCTGTGGTTGTTCGACCATACAGATATCCCCATTTGCAAAAAGATTAAATTGAGAAGCAATGCCAGAAGATGTTAGATAAGGGAGTGATTCAACCAAGTCAGTCTCCTTTTTCTTCACCGGTATTGTTAGTCAAGAAAGCTGATGCAACTTGGCGATTTTGTGTGGATTATCGCGCTTTGAATGCCAAGACGATCAAAGACAAGTTTCCAATTCCAGTAATTGAAGAGCTGTTGGAAGAACTGCATGGGGCTAAATTTTTTACAAAGCTGGACTTGCGTTCGGGTTACCATCAAATTCGAATGTATCCGGATGATGTAGAAAAGACTGCTTTCCGGACCCATCACGGGCATTTTGAATTTCTTGTTATGCCTTTTGGGTTGACAAACGCCCCTTCTACGTTTCAAGCCCTTATGAATTCAGTTTTCAGGCCATATTTGAGGAAGTTCGTTCTTGTCTTCTTTGATGACATACTCATCTATAGCCGAACTTGGGTAGAACACATTCAACACCTACGGGCAGTTTTCTCTACTCTTCTAAGTCATAATCTTTTCTTAAAGCAATCTAAGTGCAGTTTTGCTCAGTTGCAAGTGTCCTATTTGGGTCATATCATCTCTAAACAAGGGGTTTCTGCTGACCCCAGTAAAGTAAGTGCTATGTTGGAGTGGCCTTTGCCTAATTCTGTCAAGGCATTGAGGGGTTTTTTGGGATTAACTGGTTACTATCGTAAGTTTGTGAAAGATTATGGTTTAATTGCAGCTCCTTTGACTTCTCTGTTGCGCAAGAATGCTTTTGTTTGGACAGATAAATCCAAGGCTGCCTTTGATGCTCTTCGAGTGGCAATGGCCTCAACACCGGTGTTGGCTTTACCAGACTTCTCTCAACCATTTATTGTTGAATGTGATGCATCTGATGCGGGACAAAATAGGCCCATCGCTTATTTTTCTCGCCCATTGGCTGTCAGGCATGTCAAACTTCCTGCTTACGAGAAAGAATTGGTTGGGCTGGCCAAAGCAATACAACATTGGAGACCTTATTTATGGGGAAGGAGTTTTATAATTCGAACTGATCATTACAGTTTGAAATTTTTATTAGAACAACGTATTATAACTTCTCCTCAACAACATTGGCTGATCAAATTAATGGGGTTTGATTTTACTGTTGAGTATCGTGCAGGGCGCGAAAATGTGGTTGCTGATGCCTTGTCTCGCCAGTATGAAAATTCTCCTGTTCTTGCTGCAATTTCTACTCCTCAATTGGATTATTTGGAGGATATTAAGGCTGCCATTAATTCTTCTATTGCCTTGCAGCAGCTTCGTGATCAGATTTTAAATGGAGAATTGAAAGATTTTTGGTCTTTCAAAGATGGACTGCTTATCTACAAAGGCAGAATTTTTCTTCCTCCAGATTCTCCTTTCCAGGAGGCTCTAATATCTACCATTCATCATCAGGCACATGAGGGATATCAGAAAACTTTGAGGCGTCTTGCTTCTGAATTTTATTGGAAAGGAATGAAGGAGCAAGTTCAGAATTTTGTGCGTACTTGTTCAGTTTGTCAGAAAAATAAAGTTGAACACCTCCAACCAGCAGGCTTATTGCAGCCACTTCCAGTTCAGGTTTGGTCTGACATCTCTTTAGATTTTGTTGAAGGGTTGCCACTTTCTCACGGGAAATCTGTCCTGTTGGTGGTTGTTGATAGATTTTCAAAGTATGCTCATTTCCTTCCGTTATCTCACCCTTATACTGCTGTTTCGGTAGCGAGGTTGTTCTTTGATCATATTGTTAAGTTACATGGGATTCCAGAATCTATCGTGAGTGATCGTGATGTCACTTTTACTAGTTCTTTTTGGAAGGAATTATTTCGGCTTAGTGGCACCAAGTTGTCTTTTAGCTCTGCTTACCACCCTCAATCAGATGGCCAGACTGAAGTGGTCAATCGTACAGTGGAGATGTATCTGCGTTGCTTCACAGGTGACCGTCCCAAAGGTTGGGTGGATTGGGTGTCTTGGGCTGAATATTGTTATAATACAAGCTTCCATTCCTCTCTTCGTGCCACTCCTTTTGAAGTTGTCTATGGACGACAACCACCTCGTCTATTATCTTATTCTCCAGGATTATCTCGCATTCAGGCTGTGGATTATGAGTTGCGTGCTAGAGATGTGGTTTTGCAGGAGCTGAGGGAACGTTTGCTTCATGCCCAAAATGTTATGAAGACTTATTATGATTCTCAACATAGAGATGTGTCTTTTGATGTGGGGGACATGGTGCTTTTAAAGCTTCAGCCTTATCGTCAAGTTTCTGTGGGGTTTAAGCGTAATCAGAAATTAGCTCCTCGTTTTTATGGGCCTTTTCCTATTATTAATCGAATTGGTTTGGTGGCTTACAAACTGCAGCTTCCTGAAGGTTCTAAACTTCATCCTGTTTTTCATGTTTCTTGTTTGAAGAAGTTCCATGGTACTGAAACTTGTTCTTCTACATCACCTCTTCTTCATAAGGGTGTTCCTATTCCAACTCCTCAAGCTGTGCTGGATTCGAGAATTAAAGATGGCTTAAAGGAGATTCTCATTCATTGGGAAGGACTTTCTCCAGCTGATGCTTCTTGGGAATCTGCAGAGCATATGCAGCTTCGTTATCCTCAATTTGCGCTTGAGGACAAGCGCTCTTCAAAGGGGGGAAGTGATGTTATGATCCAAGATCAGTCAACAACTGCTAAAGTTCTACCATTCAAAGTTTACCAGCGAAGATCAAAGAAGAATTAAGTTTAGACAATCCTCTGTTATGATATTTTACTAATGTTTTTGTGTGGCTGTTAGTTAGTTTCTGCCAGGTGTTTATAAGGCATAATATTATGCATATGTATTGTGTAGGTTGTTGGCACCTGTTGCCTGTTGGTTAGATATATTATGAATAATTCAAATTGCTAAAAATTAGGAAGCAGTTTAGAAACAGTTAGAAGCAGTTATTCCTGTAAGTTTAAGTACTGGTTTAAGAAATAAGAATGGTTAAGAAATTTCTGATAAAAAGTTCTTGAGTCTTTAAACTCTTGGAGATCGTTGGGTTCTCTCTAACGAGCCCAAAAATTTATAATCAAAATAGGTTATAAGGGAAGAAAAACTCAATCTTCTAGTTATCAACAACTAGATTTCAATGTTCAGGGTCCTATAACTAGATCCAGAGGTTCTGATCTTAACACCTTCTTCACTTGCTAAAAGTTCGTGCTTTTCAAATCAAGAATTCTATTAATTAGTACATTACAACAAATCCCACCTTTATAAATTACACTCTAAAACCTCCAAATTTTGGGTAACTCCGGGCCAAGGTTTTGCCTTCTCTCTATCTCTCTCTTTTTTTTTTTCCTTTCAGCATATAGCTTAGTGGAATTATAAGAAACTACTATACTATTATACGATTGATTCTTGAACAAATATTACATAAATTCATGATCATTCAGTCTGAAAAATCGAATTATTTTAGTACATAGGTTAAGACCCATCTTTTCCCCCACAACTAGCCACCAAGGCTGAGCTATTAACCCCTTGCATGGCTGCCGAGTTTAAAAGCTGCATTCCCTCTTCCCCCATCTGCTTAACTTCTGACGGAGATAAAATTCTAATGCATCTTACACACCCAACAAATTCCCTGAAAATTTTACAAACAAATTAGATTTACAAGAAAAAAATGTTTTCAATGGGGTTAAACTTTAAAGTCATGTAATAACTTGTCAAAGAAGTATTTTGTTTAGCACATGAAACTCTCAGGAGGTGCATTTGACATAGTCAATGGTTTTGCCAATTTGAACAAAAGTTAATTTACTTATTCTATTTTCTTTCTCTT